TGCTCTAAATCCCCGCTGGCTCTTAAATGAGCCACCTCCAAGCTCGAGCAGCCTCACAGCTCCTGCTCCAGGGCTCCCAGGCCTTTCCCAGCTCTCCTAAAACGCCTTTCCCGGGATCAAATCTTCCCGATCCCCAGTGCCCTCCTGGATCCCGTTATTCCAAGGGAACAGGGGCTCCTTTCCCACTGCTGCAGCAAACAACCCGGCTGGGAAAGCCGGGAATTCCTTCCAGAAAAATCCGAAGGGAAGCTGAGACTCGGTGACTTTGCGCTCCTCTTTCCTCCCTGTCCCCGCGGGGGCTCAGAGAGGAGCTCCCCAACCCCACCACCTCATTTCCTCAGCACCATTCCCAGGATTTTCAGGATTCCATGGGAAAAGGGGGTGAAGGGCGAGCGAGGGCCGGGGTTTGGTGCCGAGCTCACCCGCTGGCGCAGCGATTCCGTCTCCTCCTGGTACGCCAGCAGCTGCTTCTTCCACTGGTCCACGTTGGCGTTGGCCTCGTGCAGAGCGGCCACCAGCTTGTTGTTGTTGTCCTGGAGGCTGAAGAACTCGGCCTCCCACTGCACCTCGCTCACGGAGCTGGGGACAGAGCAGGGGAGATTCAGAGCAACCCCATTCCCTGTGATTATTATTGGCTTTATATTATATATAATATATACAGAGACTGAAGAGCTCGGCCTCCCACTGCACCTCGCTCACGGAGCTGGGGACAGAATGGAAGAGACCCAGAACACCCCCATTCCCAGTGATTATTATTGGTTTTATATTATATATAATATATACGCAGACTAAAGAACTCGGCCTCCCACTGCACCTCGCTCACGGAGCTGTGAGACAGAACGGGAGAGACTCAGATCAACCCCATTCCCTGTGATTATTGTTGGCTTTATATTATATATAATATATACAGAGACTGAAGAACTCGGCCTCCCACTGCACCTCGCTCACAGAACTGGGGACAGAACGGGAGAGACTCAGATCAACTCCATTCCCAGTGATTATTATTGGTTTTATATCATATATAATAAATACAGAGACTGAAGAGCTCGGCCTCCCACTGCACCTCGCTCATGGAGCTGTGAGACAGAACGGGAGAGACTCAGATCAACCCCATTCCCAGTGATTATTATTGGTTTTATATAATATATATCATATATCCAGAGGATGAAGAACTCGGCCTCCCACTGCACCACATTAGAGCAGAGCTTGCCTTGACTCAAGGCCGGGCTCAGGAGAAGGCAGCAAAGGACGCTTTGCTCCAGATTTAAAAATACTCCAAGCATTCAGCTGGGAGCTCGAGAGGAGCCACAGGGCAGAATCCAGCCCCGAAGCCTTTTGAAGAGACAAAGAGAGGAAGCAGCAGGGATTTTGCTGGAATCACCAGGGGAATTAACACAAACACAACCCTGGGCCAGCTGGAAAAGTGTGAACATCCCCTGGTATCACGAACCACTGATCCGGAGATAACTGGCACGGGGCATCCTCCTTCCCACGCTGCAGAATTTCCAAGCTGGAATAACTTCCCGCTGGGAAAAAAGGGGGAGATGGATCCCCTGGAGGGTCTGAGCAGCGGCTGTGGGGCTTTACTCAGGAGAATTAAAAGAGCAGAAGGGGTCAGGATGATTTGGGATGACAAATCCTGCCAGAGGAGAGGGTTTGGGAGTCAGGAGCAGCCTCACCCCTCCGAGAGCATCTTCTTCAGCCTCTCCTTCTCCGTGCTTATCTCCACGTCCGCGCTCTGGCTCCGGAACAATTTATCCTCTCCCGGCCCATTGGAGCTGATGATGGGGCTGGGAAGAACCTGGGGGTGAAGGAGGGGTGGTCACCTCCAGTGGGGACAGGGCTTGTGGCCACAAAGCCAGGCTGGCCCTGCGGGGTCAGCCCGGGGGGGTCCCAGCTTGGGGAGAGTGGGTTTGGCAAGAGGACAGAGGGGACACAGGGGACACAGGGGACACAGGGGACACAGGGGACAGGGACCCTCAGCCACAGGGGTGTCTCTGGGAGCTTTCTTTTGGGCAGGGAGGTCGGTGCAGTGCCAGCAGTGCCACTCCTCCCTGTCCCTGTCCCTGTCCCTGTCCCCACAGCGGGCTGGGGCAGTGATCCCAGCAGATCAGGGACAGATCCCAGAGCAGGGAACAGATCCTAGATCAGGGAACAGATCCCAGAGCAGGGACAGATCCCAGAGCAGGAGGGAACAGATCCCAGATCAGGGAACAGATCCTAGATCAGGGAACAGATCCCAGAGCAGGGAACAGATCCCAGAGCAGGGAACAGATCCCAGAGCAGGAGGGAACAGATCCCAGAGCAGGGACAGATCCCAGAGCAGGAGGGAACAGATCCCAGAGCAGGGACAGATCCCAGAGCAGGGAACAGATCCCAGAGCAGGGAACACAGATCCCAGAGCTGTGGCCACAGCTCCCATCCCTGGACACGGAGCTCTCCAGCCCTCAGCTCCGCAGGGAAATGCCACCGGTGTCACAGCCTGTCACACGAGTCCCCGTGGCTCCCAGTGGCCTTTTCAGGCCAGGCTTTGCCGAATTCCTGTGGGGATTTTCCTGCTGTTCCTCAGAGCAGCAGGAAGATTTAACAAACACAGAGCTGCCAGCCCTGGCTTCAGCTCAGCTGAGTTCAGACACCAGCAGAAAACAGCGGAGCTTTTTGTCCCTTTCTTCTGTCGTTTCCCTTTTTTTTTTTTAATTTTCCCTTTTTTTCTGTCATTTCCCTTTTTTCTGTCATCACTCAGGGGACGGTGGCACCCATTTCCCAAAGGTGTGGGAGAAGAAACAGCCCCAGCCTCTACAGTTTATCCTCCTCCACGGCTCCTGACGCTTGGGAAACGGAGTCAGGAAGGGGCAGGGGTTTCCTCTTTGGGTGTGAAACCGGGATGAGTGGAAGATGCTCTGCTCTGACTCCTGCACTCTCCCCAGGACACACCCTGGGGCTGCTGGACGGGCGGGGATCGACCCTAAAGGCTTCTGGAGGAGAGGGAAGAGCTGCGTTACCTGGTGGGATGTGATGTTCAGGGCAGGATTGGTCAGCTCTGTTTTATCCTGGGATTTCTCCCTGGCCAGACGAGCTGCTTCCTTCACCTCCTGGAATTTCTCTGCAAACTGGAGGGGAAGGGCAAAGTCACTGCGGGGCTGAGCTGGAGCGGGCAGAGAGCAGAGCTGGTGCCTGCAGCTCCGCTCAGAACTCTTCAATTTTTTAAAAAAATTAATTTTAATTTTTCTTAAGCAACAAAACAGAGGGAACAACCCCTAAATCTGGGGGACAGAGCCAGGGCCTGCAGCCTCAGCTGGAGTGGTGATGCTCAGACCGCTCTGTGACACAATTTTAAAGCTGTTTTGGGTCTTTTTGCAGCATTTATTGTGTTCCAGGTGGTCCCTGAGGGGTTTGTGGCGAGCCTGGGCTCCCCCAGGTGTGCTCAGGTGTGCTCAGGTGTGCTCACGTGTGCTCAGGTGTGCTCACGTGTGCTCAGGTGTGCTCAGGTGTGCTCAGGTGTGCTCAGGTGTGCTCAGGTGTGCCCAGGTGTGCTCAGGTGTGCTCACCTGTGACAGGTGCTGCTCCGAGGCGAAGCCCAGCCCGTAGACGGTGTTGGCTCGGCTGTCGGCCCACTGCCCGAATTTCTGGGATGTTTTGGTGAAGGTCATGTTGGGGGTGATGGTGCTGTTGATGATGGCCTGTGGGGAGAGGCGGGGGGTCAGGGGATCAATCAGGGGGTCAGGGGATCAATCAGGGCTTCAGGGGATCACTCAGGGGGTCAGGGGATCAATCAGGGGATCGGGGGATCAATCAGGGGGTCAGGGGATCAATCAGGGGATCAGAGGATCAATCAGGGGGTCAGGGG